GGGGGGGGGGGGTGTTCCCCAAGATAAGCCTGTCAGAATGCTCGGGTGTGACATGGAGTGGGCTTGGAGGACAGAGTGGGAGGCCAGCCCTTGGGTCCAATCCCCAGCCGCAGCCATCCCCCAGCAGGCCAGCGGATAAGGACATCGGCCTCACGCCATAAATAAAACTGGGGACTCGCTGACAGGCCCTGGCACAAGCCTCGGCCCCCACAGCCCCTGCTTACCTCCCTCCAACCCTACCCCCAGCCTCCCCAGTCTCCCGGGCGGACGCAGCCGCCTGCTGGCTCTCGTGCAAGAATCGCAGGTGCTGGGCACGAGCAAGGGCCAAAGCTCCAAGGCTCCGGCCCCTCCCGGCTGTGTTCACTCCCGCCAAGCGCAGAACCTGGAGAGGCCCGGATGGGGGCTGGAGAGCTTCCTGGAGCTCGTTTTGACCCTCTCTTCCTCCAGTAATCTCTCCTGGCCTCAGTTTCCCCATTATTTCATCATCACCAAACTGAGCATATGTGTCTGAGTTGAGAGTTTCAGTGTAGAAGTGTTCTCTCTGTCTTAGGGGACCGGTGGAAGAGGGTGGGGGATGGGAGCGTCCTCCTCTATTACCTGCAAATACTAAGGTGCCGGGCACTCGCCTTGGGCTGTGCTGCCTAAACCTGACAGATGGGGAAACTGAGGTCAGACATTTTAAGCAATGTATTTCATATTAGAGAATGCAGATCCATGGGCTCAGAAAGTCTGCAGGACAAAGGAAGTCAACTTTAGGCCTTCCTACCTTGAGAAAGGGACCCAGAGAAGGCAAACAGGGCTCGAGCCTGGTTTCTGAGCATTCAGGAGGCTGAGGCAAGAGTACTGCAAATATTAAGGCTGTCTAGGTCGCCTTATATTAAGGGTTGGAGAGGTGGCCCAGCAGTGGTAGGCACAAGGCACTGTGATCTATGTGTGGGTGGGACAAAAGGTGCTGCGGGACCACATGATAACCGGCTGTAATACTCTATTTGATATAAAGTTAACTTCTAGAGAGCCTAGGATATTGGAGTTAAAACCAGCCTGTCTTCCGTTCTCTTCAAACAAGTCACACTGCTCTCCCTCAACAAATGACAGGCTAAATAGAATCCAGAGCCATAAGTGTAACATAGTCTCCCAAGTGTGCTAATGGCCGCTGGCCATTGTCTGGAAGTGGAGACAAAGGGACCAGGAGTTCGAGATCATCCTTGACTACATACTGAGTTTAAGGCCAGCATGTGCTACCTGAAGACGCTGTCTCACAAAAGGAGAAAAAAAGGAAACAGGCTGGATTGGGGTTTCCACGGGCCAGCCAGCCCTGGAGAGGTGCTCACCACTTCGAGGGGTGGAGGCAGCGGTGGGGTGGCTCCACTCGCTCCAGATTCCCGCCTTTTTCGAACCATAGATCCCGAATGGGTTACAACGCACTTGGACGAAGTATACGGTGCCGGGCTTCAGGCCCGCCAGACGGCAGGAGGTCTGGTTGCTGACGTCATCCACCACCTGCATGGTGAGGGAGGAGTCAGATGCGGGGGGCGGGGCCAGGGGCGGGTCCGGGGCGGGACGGGCACCTTCCAGTCCACGCTGTCCTCCACGCGGTATCGGATCTGGTACTTGGCTTGGAAGAGGAAATCCTTGAGAGCTGGTGGTGAGACCCAGCGCACACTCAGCTGGTCTTCCAGGCCCCCAACGCGGCTCACGTGCACGTCGGGTGGGGGGTCCGTGGTCACTGGGGGTGGAGCAAGCCTAGTCACTGGAGATGGTTTTGTTGTTGCTTTTGAGACAAGGTTTTACTGTGCAGCCCTGGCTAGCCTGGAGCTTGTTATGTGGATCAGGCTGGCCTTGAACTGAGAAAGGTCCTTCTGCCTCTGCCTCCCCTAATGCTGGCATTAAAGGCTTGCAACAGCGAGCCCAGCCCTGAGGACTCTGCTTGGTGAGAACTGTCTAGCGACAGAACTCCCAGTGGTGTAATCTAGGCTGCAGAGGCTCCTGCGACCCTATCTGCGTTTTCCAGACCCCTTCCCCGACCCCCCCCCACACCTGTAGGCTACTCATCCAGGCCTGATAGACAAGTATCATTTAATGTTCCAGAAACAGCCAGCCGCAGTTGCTGCTATCACCATTACTGTCTCTGACACACAATCCTGTCTTCAAGGGGACAGAGCAGCAAGCCTGTCCAGCTGGAAGAGATTAGCAGCAAAGGTCTCACTAAACAGGAGGCTCATCCAGCACCTGTGAGCACCACCCAGCACCTATGAGACCTTGAATACCAGTATTAAGTCACAAGCTGACTGATAAAGCTACTGTCTGTGTTTTGAGCCAGAGTCTCACTACATAGCCCAGAGTGACTTCAGCAATTGTGATCATCTTGTATAGGCCTCCTGAATGTCAGGGTGACAAGGTTTATTATATGTCACCCCAACCCCAGGTGCTCTTTGGCTCCATCTCTATGTATCCCCATACCCACCTCTGTTGCCCTGTACATTACCAAGGGCCTCCATGGGGCAGCTATGCCAGCCACAGGGCACAACTGAGGGTAGACGCCAGGAAGACACAAATGCTCTGGGATCTGGGATGAGCCAGGGGCACCCAGGAACCCTTCTGGGGACCATGGAGAAAGTTCAAGCTGCTCTCTCCCCTGAGTCCTCAGTGAGGCACTTGAAGGGTTAAATGGCCCAGGCTGCTCTGGGCTGGGAACACCCTAATTAGATTAGCCCCAATTCTGCTCAGGGATCATCGACTTCCTGCCTCCAGCCCTCGCCCCCCCCACCCCAGCTCAAGGCTCGGCTTCCTGGGGCGCCTTCCGACCTGAGCGCCCCCTCTCAATCCCCTAGGACTCCCTCCTGAACACCTGGGCTGCTGAGAGGGAGGGTGACCAAGCCAGGTGTTTTCTGAAGTGTGTGTGTTGGGGGGAATCTTGACTGTCTTAGGGGGAAGTCTTTGTATCGAGTTATGAACAACCACTGCCCTGCAACCACCATGGCTGTGGCTAAAACAGCTATAAGAACCAAAAAGGCTTGGGGGGGGCCTATAGGGTGTGGGGCAGAGCACCAGGTGGACACTGGGGGCTCACCCACGTCCAGGACATCCAGTGTGAGGACATCAGATCTCGCTGAGCCCAGGCGATTGGTGGCTTCCACCCAGATCTCATAGGGCGTGAAGAGGGCCAAGTCTTTGGGAATACGGCATGAGTGAAGGCCCACAGTGTGATATTCCTCACACGTGTTGTCCTGACCATACCACCTATGGAGTTGGGAGAGTCCCTTTTAGTCCTTAGACCAGTTTCCTGCAACTGCAGGGTTCAACAGGAGCATATTTGATCAGAGAAGGCAAGTATCTCCTGAAGTCACACAGCAAGGCTGGGCTGGGCACCAACCTCAGCTTGTATTTGAGGGAGTAGTTGGTGTGTAAGAATGTCTCCCCATGTGTACCCGGTGTCCAGCGGCAAGTGAGGTCCTTCATATTCCGGGACCAGCAGCTGATGTTGAAGGGCTTCTCAGGGGGGACTAAAAAAAAAAGATGACAGCTTTTCTAAAGCAGCTGGGTACACAGTGGGAGAGTACAGCCACAGCTGTCCCCAGATCTGCAGTCCCTGTACTGGGTATGACCATGTCTGTGTGCTAGCTCCTTTTCCACCCAGACTGCCCATCGTTCCGCCCCAGGACAGAGGACCCAAGCTCTACTCTCTAAATTTGTCATTGTCACCCCCCATCTATCCCTGGGTGTCCTGGGGCCCCACTTACGGCCAACATAGAGGCAGGAGCCAGCCAGAATGCTGCCATCCCGGGCGTGACACACCAGATTGTCCCCTGACTGCTGCCTAGACCCATTAAGGTTAGCCAGGGCCAGGGCCAGGGTGGAGGTGTTAAGGAGGCGGGACAGCTCAGAGGGCAGGCGGCGACCATTGAGGGTCCAGTAGAGACCCTCAGCAGTGGCTCCAGGTGTGTCTCCATGTATCGAGCAGGTAGCTTGCAGGGAGGAGCCGATGAGAAGAGTGGGGTCCTGGGGGCTGATCACAGCTGTGTCTGGGGTCAAAGAAGACACTTGTCAGGCACAGGATGAGCCCACTTCAAGTCCCTCACCCTGCCCAGGTGTTCAAGAGTCAGAAGACTTGAGCAGGTATTCACCCATTTTACAGATAAAGAACAGAAACAGTGAGGCCTAAGCACTCATTGAAGCTGAGGCAACAAACTCAAGGCCAAGGCCAGCACCTTCCCCAGAGAAGTGCTGCCTGAGCATCACTCCAGCACTTGGGGGTGGAGGCAGGAGAACCAGCAGTTCAAGATAACCCTGGAGTATATAGTTTGAGCCTAGCTAGAGAGCTACAGGAGACCTTATCTCAAACATTAATCCACCAATCAGGGGCCAGTGAAATGGCTCAGTACATAGAGGAGACTGCAGCTAAGCCTGAGGACCTGAGTTTGAATCCAGGACTTATACTGTGAAGGGAGAGAACTAACTTGTACAAGTTGTCCTTGGACATTTACATGCTGCAACATACATGTACATACACATACATGTACATACACATACATACACAAGCACAAAATACGTTCTGGGTTTTGGGGAGAGGGTGAGAACGGGGTCTCACTCTGTATCCTTGGCTAGCCTGGAATTCAGACATTAGTCTGCCTCTGCCTCCCAAATGCTGGGGTTAAAGTATGCAGTTCTGCTGAGTGACAATGCACGCCTTTAATCCCAGCACTTGGGAGGCAGAAAGTAGGCCAATCCCTGGGTTCGAGGCCAGCCTGGTCTATGGAATGAGTTCCAGGACAGCCAGAGCTACACAGAAAGCCCTGTCTCAAAAAAACAAAACTGAAACCAAACCAAAAACAAACAAGTATATTTTCATGCCCCCATCAAAACCAAATAAAAATTTAAAAACATCAGTCATGAATACCTACTCAAATCTAGGTAAGTACTTTCTATTAATTTATTATGGCTCCCTGTGTGTGTGTGCATTGCAATACATGTGTGGAGGTCAGTGCCTCCAGCCTGCTTCTACCATGGGGTCCCAGGGATGGAGCGGAGGTCATCCTGATTGGAGTCAAGTGCCCTTACCCACCAAGCTGTCTCACCAGTCTATAAACATTTTCTCTTCTCTTTATTTCTTTTCTTCACAGGGTCTCACTACCTAGACCGCACTGCCTTGAACTTGGTATCCTCCTGCCTCAGCTTCCAGAGTTCTTGGATCACACATGAACCACCAAGTATGGCCTGGCTTACCAACTTCCTTTCTCTCCTATTCTATGTCTGTCCTGGTGGTGTCCATTCTCTGATACTCTAGCCTCACACGTTTCTGGGGAGTGGACATATCTAACATGAAAAGTCCTACCCTGGTAAATGTTTGTCATCCTAACACCCAGGAGACCAAGGTAGAGGAATCATAAATTTGAGGCCAGTCTGCTATGCAGTGAGACACTGTCCAGAGGAAGAGAGGTGAGCCCTGTTGGGTGAACCGTGAAGGGCAAGCTGGGAGACTGAGCCTTCGTTTTCCCTCTGTACCCTGCTAACATCCCAGTACACATGTTGGTACTGTGCAAAGGACAGCTCCTGTGTTCTGAGCCACAAGAGAAGGGACAGCCACAGAAGACCACATGCAAGGGCCTCTACAGCTCCCAACAGGAGTCCTGACTCTCCACAATCAGACTTCCTAGGGCCATTGTGATGACCACTTAGGAAGTGACCTCAATCGTGTGACCAACCCTGAGAGACCTCACCCTTGCCTACCCACCCTTAGGGCAGTCAGTCCACAGCTGCCCTACTCATACACTGGGACCTCAGGGGTACAGCAAGGCCTAGGATATGAGGAGGAGAACATACCCCAAGCCTCTCTGAGTCTGTTTCCCCATCTGGCCATTGGCCATCCTTGTCAGCCACACAGGATGGCAGGGTGGTGGGAGGTGTTGGGGAAGTTTTACAGAGAACTCCCATGAGATCAGAAAGCCAGGCTGCCCTGGGAACCTAACTTCATCCAGTTCTCTGAAGCCTCTTTTTCACTCAGGGTGGGACAACGTAAGCTTCATTCATTCCTTCATTCCTTCATTCTTTCATTCAGAGCCTACAGTATGCCAGGAATAAAGACACAGCAAAACACTTATCCTTACTAGCTGTGGTGGCCCACACATTTAGTGCCAGCACTGGAGAGGCAGAGGCAGGTGTGTCTCTGAGTTACAGACCAGCCTGGTCTACAGAATGAGTGCCAGGTCAGCCAGGGCTAACCCTAGAAACCTGTCTTGAAAAGCTAAAAATAAAGAAAAGAAAAGAGAAGAGAAGTCACAGAAACAGAAAAGAAAGGGAGGAAGAAAAGGAGGAAGAGGAGAAAGGGGCGGGACTGTAGCCTTGTGTGTTTGAAGCTCTGGGAACCGTTATCAAGAGCCAAATGCAGTGAATCGAAAATCCCAGTTGGGCAAGGTGGGGCTCCATGTGCAAAGGCCCTGGGGTAGAAGCAAAGGAAAGATTAGGGAAGACTGCAGGGCTCTCAACCCTTAGGGAGGAAAACTGAGTCCCGGGTTGGGGTAAGAGGACAAAGAGTATTGGAAAAAACAAAAACAAAACCTGATTCCCCAAGAGGCTCAGAGAACCGGCTGCACCCACCCCCAGGCTCCCATTACAAAGCTAAACTGCAGCCCTGAACGGTCCCTCATGCCCCAGATGGACGAGGTGGCACCAACGTGGTTCTGGTCCGGGCCCTGAATGGTTTCTCCCGGGCAAACTTGGCCTTGGGAGAAGGCGGGTCTTGCTGAAGCCTGTAATCGCAGTTGCATTTGGGGCTTGTCCCAGGGCTCAGCGGAGGTCTCGGCGTCCGTGCGAAGGAGCAGGAGGAGCAGGCCAGAGCGGAGGCGGCGGGGGCCAGGGGGCCGCCCCGGAGGTCCCAGGCAGCCAGCCGCCCGCTAATTCAGAATTCCTTCGGCATGAACTGGGACGTGCCAGCGTCTCTACCCCGGCCCACCCACCGCTTCCTGCCTGGGCGCCCCCCTCAGCAGGGTGGGAAGCACTGCCCCGACCCAGGACCCCACCGTCTGCACTCCTGGGCGATGATCACACCCCACTGTCCCTCCCCGGCCTTTGTCTGGCCAGGAAGGGGACTCTCTGGGGGGTCCTGGCTGGGGGGTAATGCCCTTTTACCACACCAGCCTAGCTTGGATTCCCCCGCAGCTGCCCTTCGTGGCTTGAGGGGGGGAGGGGGGGCAAGGCCAAGCCAGCTTGGACAGGACACCCCAAGTTTTCTCCTTAGAGCAACTGGTACACAACTCAAGAAAACTTGGTACACCTGGCACCCCCCTCCCTATTTCCCTCGGTAAAACGGGGAAGCCGGTCTCTGGACTGGCACCCTGGAGTACCCAGGGATAGGACTCCATTCTCCCTCTTGGCTTCCACAAACAATGGGCCAAGGCCACTGGGGACTGGAGAGCACACATGCCAAGCTAGACAGAGCAGCAGCTGACAGCAGCCCCCTAAGCCTGGAGAGGGAGACACCCCTCCTTTTTCTTTCCCTCTTCCCCTCCTTTCCCCCACAAAGCTGGGGCCTATACACGCTTCTTTTTCCCCTTTCCCAATGCGGAGCTGCTGCCGTTATTAAAAAGAACACCATGTGTTTTAAAAGGGAAAAGTGTGAGATTCCCTGAAAGGCCAACGGGAAGGTGGCCTCCATCCCAGCCGTCCCCCAGGGGTCCCCATCTCCTGTCCCGCTGGTACCTGCATACACTTTTACGACCCACCAGCCGGCTGGTCAGGTGCTAAGACACACCGTAAGTACAAACAGATTGCAGAGGTGTGAGAACCACTTAGTTAATTTCTCTCCCCCTTAAAGGAAAAAACACACGCGCCACCCCCACTCCGCCACCTTCGCCTGTTGCTCTGCATGCAGCCCGCCCGGAAACAAAGCTGAGCGCTATTGGTAGCATTCAAAAACTACCCAGGCTTGGCAGCAACATCAACTCCCCGGAAAGATCCCGGGTGTCAACCCATCCATCACCTGCCCAGACGCCTTGGGCAAGCAGGAGTGTGGGTCCCTGTCCCCTGACGGGAGCGGGAGGGCGTCCACAGACATCCCAGACAAACTGCACAGACTACTAGCCCCAGAGCAGCAGCGCAGCGTGGTGCCCCCGCGGTGTGGCCTGTGTCTCCGGATGGGGTCCTGAGAGTGGTTGGGAAAGATCTCCAGTGCACTCGGCCATATGTGTACCCCGGTGTGGCCTCCCCTGTGAAATGAATGTGGGACCACGAGTGCGTGCGTGCGTGTGTGTGTGTGTGGAGGATGGAATGCGAGCGCTGCGATGGTGTGCGAATACGCATCTGGGCTGCAGCGCGCGTCGGAGGGCAGGGTGACGGGACATAAGCCAGTGGGGCTCTTTTGTGTGTCTTTGGGTGTGTCCCAGAGAGGGTCTGGATGTGGAGACCGCATCCTGGCGGGGATGTGTACGTTGGGTGATGGGGACTCAAGGCCAGGAGTTCCTCCTGGGACAGTGGGGCTCTCTCGGCAGCTGATCCCCACTGGGTGCCCCTTAAGACAATGAAGTCTGGGCTCGCGGTGCCCGGACACGCTTGCTCTCGCTCCTCACCGAAATTTCAGTCGCTAGAGGCTCTCAACCTAGCGCAGCCTGAATGAGCCCTGTGGTGAACTCCACCAGTGAAGAGGACTTCGAGGATACCAAAGCATGGGGTCCGCTATAGGGGGGAGGGGGCGGCACCGGCCTCACGGTGAGGCAAGTCCCGGGGGACCCTGAGCCGCATGCCAGGCGAACAGAACAGGAGGGCTCACGATAACGCCCCACCCTCCCCACAGGGATCATCACTTCATGGGGGGAGGGGACCCCACTCTGCGCCAGCACCCAACCCAACGCACTCAAGCGTGCGCCCCCGGGCCAGGGAGGATTCTCTTCCTTCCGCTCTGTTATCCAAGACACAGACGTGCGCCCCGAGGCGTCCCAGCACCCTGAAGGGGGGGGTCTGAGGACACTACGATGTCCTTCAAAACGAGCCTGGCTGGACAGCCTCGCAAAGGAGATCCAGATAAGAGGCCTCTGATGTACAACTGGGTATTCTTGGGCTGCTGGGTGGTGGTACCGTGAGCCCTACAGGTGAGGGCGCCCCGAGGGCTGCCTTTCTTTGTTCCCGGGCCGTCCAGGTGGCGCTCGCGCCCCCTCTTCCATCCCCCGCGACTACCCCCCGGGGCGCCCGATCCCGGCTTCCCGGGGGAGGTGGGGAGCAGGGCGCACGGTACTCACGGGCTCCCGATCCGCCCCGAGGCACCCCGAGGACACAGAGCAACAGAGGCGACCACAGCGAGGACAGCGGCCGCGGCGGCCGCCGCGCGGATTGGGCGGCGGGGCCCGGGCGACCGGCGGGCATGGGGGTGGCGCGCAACGGGCGGTGACTGCAACGCCGGTATGGGGCGGGGGCGAGTCTGCGGGGTGCAGATTAGGGCTCGGGTCCGCACGCACGTCACTGGGCGCGGACAGCGAAGGCCGGAGCAAGTCTGAGCAGCCAAAATTGACAAGGCGCTAATGCGCCGCTCGCCCCGCCCGGCCCCGCCCCGCCCCCGGCCCGGCCCCTGGGGGGGGTGATCGCGGGCCCCGCACCGGCCTTCCCACCGCCCGCGGGCACCGCGCGCCCCGCCCGGCCGGCCTCCACCCAGTCATCGCTCCTGAGCGTCCCATGCTCCTGCGCGAAGCCCCCCACTCCTTCCCCACCCGCCCGTGGGACCTCCCTCTCCGGTCCCGCCCGTCCCAGGCTTCCCACCCCCTCATCTGGTATCCTGTACCCTTAACTCCAAATGGGTTCCTAGCTCGCAGCTCTGGTGCCTTTCCAGGATCCCTCTAGTCTACTGGGATCCTTCCTATCCGCCTTCCCCGCCCCTCTTACGGGGGGCCCCCAATACCCACTTGAGTTCGCCACACACACACCGAGCAGTACCTGAACCCCGTTCATTCTCTTTCAGCCCTTCTTCCTTCCCTAGAGAGTTTGAAGTTGCCCCCAGTCCCCTTGCCCTGGGCGCACGGGTCCCAACGGTCCCCACCCTAAGCCTTCATTCTGCCTCTTCCATCCTCGGTGCGCAGCCTCGTCCCGCGCAGGGGAAAAAAAAAAAAGCCGGAAGGCAGAGAGTCTCTGGCCTCCGGTCCCTTCTCGCCTGTCATGTCTGCGGGTATTGGAAATGGGGATGTCCGGGAGCGCGCGCAGTGAGCCCCTATGAGTGGGCACATGGGGAGAAGTGTGTCCTTTGGGGAACGGGACCGAACCCCGCATTCCTAGTACCCAGAAAGGCAGCGGTGCAAAAGAGTTCTCCCTAAACTTCTTCACATCCCCCCCACGGAAAAATCCACTCAGCGGCCCGCGGGTGGGGTGCGCCACGCGGTGAGTAATCACTGCGGCGGCCGCCGCCCGCCAACTTCAGGTAACGCGGGCAGCCTGGAGCAACGCAGAATTATCTCCGATTGAGCGCAGAGTTCTTTCTCTGGGTTATTTTTGTTGGCCACTGTTTGGGGTTTTGGGGACCCCTCCCGGACCAGCCCAGCCCTGGCATTTCATCTCTCTGATCGCTTCTTCGTCTCCGCCCTATCCGGATGCCCACGAAGGAAGGTCTCCGGCCTGCAAGGTCTTTGCTGGTGGGGCGGCGCTCGAAATGCGAGTTCCCGGGTGGTCTCACCCCACGGGTTGGGTAAAGGCCCCCCAGCCACAGCTCCCTGAGAGTAAAAGGCTCTTCTCCCATACAGCCGTTCCCTTGGAGGCTCAGCCCCTTCCTTAAAGGTCTTCCCAAGTAGCTTCAAATGACAAAGGAGGGAAATAAAAACTAAGGCGGCCACTGCCATTTTGCTGGGGGCAAACCAGGCCTCTTGTGCCTCAGTTTCTTTTTTTGTACAGTGGGTAATTTGGGGCCAACTAAAAAGTTTACGTGGAAAGAATCAAGTACGGGGGAAAATCCCCCCAAATTTAAAATCTGATCAGCACAGTAGAGTGCAGAGGTGGCACTGGCCTGCAGGTCCCCTCTGAGAAATGTGGCCAGGTGGTCTAGGGTTCCGTGTGACGATGGATCTTGGCGACATTTCCAGGATCATGGCCGCCCCTCCCCCACAGCGCCTGCTTCGCTCTGGTCTCTGTATAGGTAAGGAGGTAGGAATCTCAGCTCCTGGGAGACTTTTGAAGCAAAGATCTTTATTTTACTTTTTTTTCCCGAATGTTTCTCCTCCCAGTCCCGGGTGGAAAGGGCTAATTTCCCCTGTGCACCCAGGTGCTGCAGGCAACGACCTGAGAGCCGCGGGACTGAACGCTTCCCCTTCGTCCCACACGTACAATCCATCAGCAATCCGGTCGGCCATGGTTCCAAAACACACCCCCATCCTGAGTTCTTGACACCCGTCCTGGTCCAGGCCCCTCTCCCCGGGATGTTGCAAGGCCTCCTCTGGGGTTCCTTCCACTTTCCTCCTGGCTCTGTTTTCACCACAGGCCGAGAGGGCTTTGAGAGACGTGAGACTCAGCTCTGCCTTACCACCCCGCGCCCACACCACATGCTCCCCTCTCCTGCTCGATCGCTGTTTGGGGTCCTTGTTTTCAGGAGCCTTAGTTCTTTGCCTGTGGCTTCGGGAAAACTTCCCTCGCGCTTTTTGTGAATTCCCACTACTCCCCAGCGACACCTTCGCTCTTTCACCGTCTTTGCAACGTAGCCCTTCAAAGCTCCTGCTCTCTAGACACTTCACTTTGCTAGTCCTGAATACCTGAGGGCCCCCAGACCCCATGCTGCTGGGCCCAGTGAGGGCCAGAAGAGTTCTGTAAGTACAAAAAGAAAAATCCATAAAAGAATCCTGTCTCTCCATGAAGCCAGAAAACAGTACCAGCTCGTGTCCTGCAGCTGGGTTTCAGAGTAGGGGAGCACACACCCCCACTTAGCTGTGCTGGGTTTCAGAATAGGGTAGCACACTCCCCACTTAGCTGTGCTGGGTTTCAGAATAGGGTAGCACACACCCCACTTAGCTGTGCTGGGTTTCAGAATAGGGTAGCACACACCCCACTTAGCTGTCTGACCCTCGTTGGCAGACAGCCCTCTCTGGTGTTTGACCTCTGCCCTCTGGATGACCTTTACCCTTTGGGGCAAAGAAGTTGACCTTAAGGTGCACCCACCCTTCCCCTGTGTGCCCATGCAATTAACTCTTTCCTCCCCAGTCCAGGCCTTTCTTTGCTTAGGAAAGGAAGGTAGTCATGGTGTACTTTCTGACAAATATTGACTAAGTCATTGAAGGCGGCTGGGAATGTTAGAAGAGTGGGTGGAAGGGCTCTTTATTAGCCCTGAACTCTTTACCCAGGGGTCTCCTGTGGAGGAGCAAGGCAGGTTTAAATCAGGGTAATTTCCCCAGCCTCAGATTCCCAGATGACAACCTCTAAAGCTTTGATAGAGCAGCAGGACCAGTAAAAATCAAAGCCTGCCGGACTGAGAAGGACAGGGCTGGTATCCGCCCTTCTCTGTGACCGGACCATTCCTCCAGGAGCACCCCTCCCCCTCCTGCCTGTACCTGGCCGTGCTCTGAGCAATGGGGTACTGAGGATCTGGTTGACGGCCTACGGGTGCCCCAGCCTTTCTCCCCGGGTCAGCCTAGACAGTAGGAACACCAAACCTCAATTTTATAGTGTTTTGCAATTTAAGTACTAGATGTGGGATGTGAGGAGGTCCCAGCCTGGGCGTGTGTGTTCTGGGGCCACCAAGCCTGGCGTTCTTGTTTCTCTGCACCCTCAAAGACTGCTGCTGAGTCCCAAGGATGGCCAGCCATATGATGACCCCTCCTCCCATCGCTCCCCCGTGTCAGCAGGCAGCGGCGCCACCCAGCCTTGCCTGGCTGGACTCTGCTTGGGGGTGGGGGTCAGCAGGGTCGTGATGAGGGCGTCCAGGGACAAAGGGCGCTTGTCTGCGGCCTGCCTTGACCGGGTGGCTGCTTCCCGGACGCCGGGAGTCCGCTGATTCACGCGGACAGCGCCCCCCGCCCCTGGCCGCGCCGCCCCGGGGGGTAGGAAGTGGGGGGGGGGGGACGTGGGGCGGCGGCGAGTCAACTTTCCCTCTTAAGCCCCGAAGGAATGTCGGCGGATTTCCTGAAATCCGACCCCGGCCGCCCGCCCGCCGCCCGCCCCTCACCTGGACCAGCTCCCCCGGGAACGCCAGGAGGGCCGTCAGGGCTCACCTGGGGGGCCGGGGTCAAGTCCTCTTCCGCTTACCCCCAGCAGCCTCGAGGAGCGGAAAAGGAGGGGGGTGCTGGAAGCCATCAAACTTACTTTTAGTCCTGGGGTGCTCCCACCCAACCCCTCATGCTTCAGTTTCTCTATCTGCAAACAACCATGGGATGTCATTTTTTACACTGGACGATGACATTCCCCCCCCCCACACACACACGGTGTCACGTGGCCCAAGCTGGCCTCATTTTTTTCAGTCATTCTCCTGTCTCAGCCTTCCCTGTTGAGACTGTCAGTCCGCCTTGTCTTTAACTCCCATCAGCAACCTTCCCTTCCTCCAGTTTGGCAGTCTCTGCTAGCCCTCTTCTGTATCCTGTCACCTAGGCCCATCCTCTGTGCCATTCCGGAATTTGGAAGGGGGACAGCCCTACCCTATAGGGTTTTTTGTCAGAGAAAAAAGTCATGGCAAGAAAATCTTTGTTGAAAGGAGTGTTTGTTTGAAATTGAATGAAGGACCGTAATTGAGGAAGGGTTAAGTGCCCGGGACTCTGCAAATGACAAGTGTGAACTTGAATTCCGGCTCTGCCCAGGCGTCCGGATGCCAGGCTTCCCACCTGTAAATTGGGGAAACAGGCTTTGTGTTTGGATTATTGAGCCAGGGTCTCACTCTATGGGCCAGGCTGACTTAGAACTTACGTCCTAGCCCAGATGGACTTTGACCTCGCGGCGATCCTCCTGCCTCAGCCTTTCCGCGTGTTGGGATGATGGGCATACGCCAAGGCGTCCGACTTAGGGAAACAGTCGGGGTCCCAGAGCACAAGGACGGTGCCCGGGGCGCGCTGGTTGAAGAGAGGCCCAGCCCTGGAGAGGCGGGGGAGGGGCCGCGCCGGGATCCAGATGTTCAGGTCCGCCAGGCACAGCCGCGCCTGATTAAGCCACGTGGGGGCCGGCCCGGGCCGCTGAGATGAAAGCGAGCGGCCGGCGGGGACCCGGGCGCGCCAGCCCCTCCTCCTGGCCGGAACCTGCGGCTCCCTGTGACCCGAAGACCCTGCGAACGGCCTCCTCGTCTGCTGGGGCGGGGCGACAGGGCGCGCGGGCCGCAGGCACCTGTGCCAAGCAGGCCACTGGGGCTCAGAGTCCCCGCCCTGGCGCCCGGACGGAGGAAGCCGGGGAGACCTCCGAACCCAGGACGGAAGCCACAGTGTCCCTCTTTGCCTCGTTTTCCCACCAGATGGGAAAAGTAAGTGGCCCAGAGGCCTTGTTAGAGTGGTGGGAGCCTCTGAGTCCCAGGAAGACACTGGGTTCCCTCAGGTCTGTTTTTGCACTGAAATGGAGGGAGACCACCTTAAATGTTGCGCCTTCAAGTTCTTCGAGGACTTCTTGGAGGAGGCAGCTGCCCCTAGAGTACCTCCCCTAGAGTCTTAGTGTCCCGAAGCAGGCCAACTGTGGCTGGTGGTCGGCTGGTTTCTAAGTCCTCAGATGCTTCAAATCCACCCTGACTCCAGCTCTATGACTCTCTCCTAGCCTCCCTTATTCCACTTATTTTCTCTCCACTCCCAAATCTTTGTCTTCCTCCTCCTCCTGGTCCTCAAACACCTCTTGTTTCCCCTCCTCCCTGTCGTTTTCCCTCCTTTCCATTTTTACCTCTCCCCTCCCCCACTTTCCGTTCTCTTCCTCTTGTCATTCTACCTCCCCACCCCCATCTCCTTCCTACCTCCCCCTCCATCCTCCCAGGCCTTCAACTTCATCCTCTTGGTCTCCTTCTCTCTCTCCTCTTTCATCGCCCCATCCACACTCCTCTTCCTTGCTCTGCCTCCTCCCTTTTTAAAAATTCCTTGATGAAGGATCCTGGATGTTCCCTGCCCGGGTTGCTCTTGGCCTCCATCCCTGAGTGGACTGAGATAGGCCTGTCACCCTATCTAGCCAGGTCCTCTTTGGCATCCCCGACCGCAAATCCAAGTCCGGGCAAAGACCCGGACCATGAGTATCAAGACGATGTCTCCGACCCGGGTAAAGATTCACCTGCCCGCCCGGCTCGCCGCAGTCTGGCCCCCCCCCCCCCCCCCCCCCCCCCCCCCGGCGGCCCCCCCGCCCGGGGAAAAGTCCCCCCCCCCCCCCGGGCCCCCCCCCCCCCCCCCCCCCCCCCCGCCAACTTCCCAGGCTGCCTCGCTCAATGACGTCAACACCCGGTCCCGCATCCCGACGCCCGCACCCGGGGCCCGCGCTGCGCACGTTCGGCCATGGCTGCGGTAGCATTACCGCTGCTGCTGTTGTTGGCGTCACCGGTCACCCCAACCCCAGCCCGCGACCCCTTCGCTCCGCAGCTCGGAGACACTCATAGGTGCCAGCAGCGGTGTCGGCAGCGCCACCCTGGCTCGCTGCCTGCGCAGGTAACAGATGGACTCTCAGGAACCCAGTCACTGGAAAAGCAGAGGGACCTGAGTGCAGGACCCTCAGGTCCGGGAGGGGATGCGAATTCCTGGTATGCTAGTGCTGGAAATTGGGGACCTCAGAAGGGGCCTGGATGGGGGAACCTCGGATGCGGGAGAGGAGGTCTTTGCCAGGAGGAAAGTGCTGACGTGGGGTCTCTCAGGTTGGCAGGGGAATGCGGGATTCTGAGGGTACTTAGATGCGGGAGCCAGAGTCTCTAGTAGTGGGGAGACAGGGTAGAGGAGCCTCAGGAGTGAGAGGAGCTCAGGTGCCTGCAATGAGGGTGGCTTGAAGGGGGAGGGGTTTCTCAGAACTGCCCTTCCTTAAAGGAAGGGATGTTGGCACCTGGGGTGAACACTGTAAGTGGGGACATGCCCAAGGGAGGCTGAGACCTGCACCTGAGCGGTCCTGGAGCTCACCCCACCCACAGTCCACGGGTGCTTGGGTGCCGTCCCTGCCTCCCCCATGGGCTTTTTTCTCATCCCACATTCCTCACTGCCTTCCTGGAGCCAGCTCTGCTCTGGTCTGTCCCCCCCAGTACAAGCTCTCTGCTTCTCTCTGAGAAGCCCTCTGCCAGCCTCAATCCTGGAGACTTGTGGAGTCCACTCCTCCAGCCAGGTCCTTCACTGTCCAGCTTGTTTAGAAAGCTGCCTTCTGTTTCTCTGAGGGCACCCTGCCCCCATGATGATCCTGGCCTTCTGAACCCTCACTGCAGTCTCATGGATTCTTAGGGGGACCCCCGCCTTCTTCTAGTCCCTTTGCTTGAGCCTCTGTCTCCCTTCCCAGCCTGAGCCAGAGGGTCCCTCAGAGTCCCCAAGTAACAAGGCCATTCTGACCAGCGCTTGCGAGCGTGGCTGTCGGCTTTTCTCCATCTGCCGCTTCGTGGCCAGGAGCTCTAGGCCCAATGCCACAGAGACAGAATGTGAAGCAGGTGAGTGCTCCGGGCCGGGTGCACCTTGGGGCTGTGCTGCGGCAGAGGTATCCCAGGAAGCAGCTCCGGTGACTCCATCCTGTGGCCCACAGCATGCACCGAGGCTTATGTGAAGGCAATGGAGCAGCGGGCCTGCAGTGAGGGGTGCTGGGGCCAGATCCCTGAACCTGAGACCCAGCTGGAGCAGAAGGTGAGCCCCCAACCTACCAGTCCCCATCTCAAAGTCAAGCCCTCCCAAGAAAGACTGTGGCTTCTTCCCCTGAACAGGCTTAGTGAGTACAGCTAACTGAGGGCAGGGCAGAGGTCCCTGTTGGATACTGAAATTCTGGTTTTCTCAAACTAGCTGTCTAAATCAACACAGCCCAGTCTCCCAGCATGAGTTTGTTGACAGTTCTGCCTTGGTTTCCCCTTTCCAGGAATTGGCTTTGGACCCACCTAGTGGGATCCTGTCCTTACGGGACCTGTTTTCCATGTTCTGCAATGACCTGATGAGTTCCGCCCAGGGCTTCATATCCTCCACCTGGACATATTCCCTTCAGACAGACAACCGGAAGGTGGTGGTGTTCCAGGTGAGTGGGTAATGACAAGGTGAACCTGAGTGGCATCCTGTGGTGGCCTCAGGGTATATGAAGTCCTCACAAGAGAACTTCAGGCAGCGTTACATCCAGGAACTCTGTTCTTGCTGTTGATGTAGGTCCTGGTGACTGAACTCAGTTCTTGGAGCTTGGCAGCCATTACCTTAGTTCACTGAACCATAGTACCTGTCCTCCATTTGGGACTTTACCTGAAAAGGGGCTTACTCTGATTGACACTGTGTGTGTGTGTGTGTGTGTGTGTGTGTGTGTGTGAGAGAGAGAGAGAGAGAGAGAGAGAGAGAGAGAGAGAGAGAGTGTGTGTGTGAGAGAGAGACATGACAATGTTAGTCAGTCACAGTAATTCTGTGTCCTTGGCCTGGGCATCTTCCTGTTCCTGGGGATTAACAGAGGGGTTAAGGCAAATACAGCCCCTGGGATAGTGTTCTCCTGCTTGACTCCTAGGAGAACTGGGGGCCACCTGGACAAGGAACTCTAGCCCTCTTGCATCTGAGATGAACCTGCTTGGGCTCAGAGGGTATCTCTGTGACATTTTTGTTCCCTGCTCAGACCCAGCCTGTAGTAGAGAAATTTGCATTCCAAGGAAGCCGTCTGCAGCGAGTGGAGGTGGCCTGGAGGGGGTCCCACCCCAAGGCCCTAGAGGTGCACATGGGTAAGATGGCAACAGATCCATGATCAGTGTCACAGGATCCATAGTCTCCCAGGGTTCGTGCTCCACCTCCACATTCTGTGGGTCATATCCCAGGATCCCTTGCACCTCCACCCCAGCCCTGTACATCCTCCTGTCCAAGTCCTGGTGTCCATTCCCCACTCCTTATGAGGCCGGCCTCCTAGCTGAGACTGGAGCTGAGATGCTCCCACCTTTCAGACCCCACAGGCCCCTTGGGCAAAGTGAGGAGGGCTAAGCCACGAGTGAAGACCAGCAGAGCCAAGGTGGAGTCTGAGGACCAACAAGAGAGTGACTTTCTCAGTTGCATGTCCCGGTAGGTGCCATTGGGCTGGGCTAGGCTGGGCACAGAGGTGTGAGGCTCAGGCAGCTGAGTGATGCCTGTCCTGGGGACAGGCGCTCCGGGCTGCCTCGATGGGTCCTGTTCTGCTGTCTCTTCCTATCCGTCCTGATCATGCTGTGGCTGAGTTGCTGCACGCTGGTCACTACACCAGGCCAGCACCTCAAGTTCCAGGTGAGTAACAGTCCTGGCTAGGGGCTGCATGCTGGGAGTCCTGCTTGCCCTGGGAAGTCAGACAAGGCTCTTTTGTCCCAATCCTACAGCCTCTAACTGCAGAACAGCACAAGGGCCTCCTGGTGGAGTCTGACTGGCCCTTGTACCCGCCCCCGCCACCTGCCTATGAAGACAGCCCCCACCTTACAAGTTGAAACTTGACTTGACCACGATGTAATCTCCTGCCTTTTTGCAAGTACAGGGGCTTCTCCACGTTCACTCACTCTGTACCCTAAAGTCCAAGGTCAGGGTGGGGACCAGCCTTGGGATCATCTACCCCCTAGTCTTCCCTCCCTCTCTTGCCAGCACGTCCCTCTGTCCCCTTGAGACAAACGGACCTGAGTGGCTGGGAGAGGACGGTCTGGCCTCTCTCACCTTGTCTTGCATTCCCAGAGGCTGGCTTTTTGACATTTCTCACATGTTCTGAGTATGGAACCTCATCTGTGTTGCTTTCTTTTTCTTCCTGTGTCCTCACTGTGGGGCTGAGGTCTCAGGGGTTCCTCTCTGCTAAGGTTCTTTTTCTTTATCTCTAGAGACCCCACAAGGACAGAGTGGTGGGGACTCCCTCCTGGGAGGAGATACAGAGACACAAACCTTTAAATAAAGTGAAGAAAAGATAGGGTGGCTGAGCCTGCTTTAGTCTGTGCCTGCCCTAGGGAGGGCTGGGTAGGGATGAGTGGGTTGGGTCCTTCTAACCCAGGAGAAGCCCAGGAAGTTCTTAGAGCAGGAGGGACACAAACAAGTCACAATCTAATGAGTGAATGTCCCTGACAAAGCCTGTCCTACCTGTAGCTTGAGTGAGGTTGTGCCCCTTCCTGGACCTGATGTCCCTCCGGTAAAATCAGTAGGTTACCCCTTGAAGAAGTCTACTGATAATTTTGTGGTTCTCTGGCATCCCTTCTTTCTCTTAGGGGTAGAGCTCTGACCCACTGCAGACAGACTTAGGACCCCTGGTGGAGGAAGGAAATCCTAGGCATGAGTCACACCCTGAGTCCCACACTGGCAGATTCTAGGCAGGGCTCTACTCCTGAGCCACGCCCCCACCCAGCCCCTCATGGGGGAGAGGGGGGAGGGGGATTCTAAGCTGCCTTTCAGCCACTGAGTCACACCTCCTGCCTTTATTGTGCTGACTTTGCTTTTAGTTCATGTAGGTCAAGCTGGTCTAGAACTGTTACTATTCCTCCCTGTGTCTGAGAGCTAAGGTAACTGAGATGTGCTATTAGACCCTCTTGCAATGACTTCTGGAATGTATCCTCAGTAGCATGAATTCTGTGCACAGACTGCAGAGGGCCTCACTGCTGGAGCAGTCTTGTGGCAGTCCAAACACCCTGTCACTCTCCCTGGCACTGGGAAACAGTGACCCCCTCCACACACTAAGTGGCTACTCTAACCAGCTAACCCAGCTCCAGTCCTAGCCTCTCAGTAGCCTCCGTTCTTCCCGGGCCTCTACCTTATTCTAACCCCATGCCTGAACCCTCACCTCCTGAGCCTCCTTGGTTTCCATAACAGCTCCAGACCCTCTTGCCCTTACATTAGGGCCCTCTCCAAGTCCTTTCTGGTCAAGAATAAGTTTGATACTGACATGGATGTCTCCTGGTTTCTACTGTCATACAGCACCCCCAAGTACTGTACCATCAAGGTCCCCAGAATCTAGTCTGGGAGACACCAACCCTTGCTCACTGTAATCTGGTCACAGGATCACAGATATCTCAACCTCTCCTCCCTCTCTCTCTCTCTCTCTCTCTCTCTCTCTCTCTCTCTCTCTCTCTCTCTCTCTCTTTCTCCCTCCTTCCCTCCCTCCATCCCTCCCTCCCTCCTTCTCTCCCTCCATCCCTCTCTTCTCCAGGCTGGCCTGGAACTCTTGACCCTCCTGCCTCTATCTCCCAAGTGCTGGAATAGCAGGTATGGGCCACCATGCATAGTTACACAGTGCTGGGGATGGAGTCCTGGGTGTCACAGGCATGCTAGACAGGTCTCTCTCAACAGAGTTCAGCCCCTTTGATCTAGTTTGAACCTGTGTTACTTTTGTCTCTCTTTAGCTGGTTTGGCTTTGACTGGCTTTCCTGCCTTCTCAGCATGATCCATTCAGATCACAGGATTTGCAACACCTCAGGGACACCTGGGATGACTTGGGAAGGACTCAAGTGTCCCATGAGGAATTCAAGGCTGCTCTGCTAGTTCTTAGCTGCTGGTTTCTACCAGAATGTCAGGAGAGAGAATCCTCTGTGACCACATAGCTGACGGCCAACATTGAAGGTTGCCAGGTTCCTGACACCTCAGTCTCCCCACTGGTCCCCAAAGTTCTGTTTGTGATCATCAGGTGTGGCATGCACATCAGGTGGTGGTAGATGTCTGGCTGGCTTCCTGGCAATCTACAGGAACATCTATCTATGTGTCAGGGTAACAGAGGGTTGTCATGGGAGCCAGTAACCTAGTTCCCTGGTGACAACAGCCCACAGTAGCTCTGCCACCAGGACTTGAAGCAGATGGACCCAGACTCAGTTGTACTGCAGACAAAATACACACACTCTGGACACTTTGAGGGAAAGGCAGGGATTCCCTGCCTCCTGAAGGGAACTGGGAGCAAAGGTCAGATTCCCACACTAAAACCTTGATCACTCTAAGGGCTGTTCCCTGTGTACTGCTGACCAACTCTGGCTTGAAAGAATCTTCTGAACCTTCCAACCCTGGCCCACAATGTCTCAACTCCAGTTTTTATCATGTTGACAATTAAGTAGTTGCTTGTTCACTTGCGTGATGATTGGTTTAATAAATGGTCCCTCTGCCAGATGTAACACGCTGGGCGTCTCGGTCTCAGTCGCAGCTGTGTCCCACACACTGAGGAAGCCATTCTCAATCCATCTTTGTCGACACCCTCTTTGCTCCGCCTTGCCTCACTTCCCACTTCCCACGGTGGCCCCACTGCTTTCCCTTGAGTTCTTTTTGGCACTTGATAGGGCCTTCTGCATCATGTCCACCTGGAATGTATTGGAACATTCTGGACTTTTCTACAGTGTTCTAAAAATGTTTGAATGTTCTGGAACATTCTAGAATACATTCGACTCTTACTAAAGCAGGGATGGTACCATTCCTTAGAAAGGCTGTTGCTAACCTGAATAAAGCACTGACTTCCCTCTTGAACTCTTTCAGACTGCTGCCCTTGCACATTTCCTAACACCTGGAATGGCCTTTGTCCCTGACCATCATGCATGTTGTGGATTTATATTTTCCACTAGAATATATTTCACAAATGTTCTGGAACTTGAGGTCAGGGATTTAGTCTCTGATGTGAGTATATTTAAATTCTCAACAGTAGCTGAATCCCCTGTCTAAAAAATAAAAATAAAAACAACAAAAAACCCCCATGGTGGATATCTCCTGAGAATGTCCTCCATACACATATGCACACACATGAATATTCCTTATGAACACACACATGCATACACAAGAAATAAAACCATACTGAATAGAGCTGCTTGCTTTCTGCTTTTCTTGCTTGTAGTGTTGAGATGACTTTGGGCGTGTCAGGCCAGGGCCCCTCACGCAATCACCACAGCCAAGGAATCAACTTCTGTGAAACACGATTCCATGTCCTAGAGTCATAGTCAGAACCTAGCTAATCAGGTTCCATAAACAGAGTCTTCCTAGGCCACCCTTGCACTATCTAGAACATTCCTGGAGATCTTTGCAGTCTGACCCCACCCCATTCCCTAGGACAGCTCCTTGCCCAGCTTGTCTTCATGGGTCAGCAAGGGCTGTTTCTCAATCTCACACAAATAGGCTCTAGCCTCTCCTCCAATTCCAACGGCATCTGGCTGCGTCCCTCTGGAGGTCTAGCATGGATGAAGATTGACAGCGATTCCTTCTTTTTCTTTGCTGCATTGCTGTCCCTTGAGCTGTTCCTGGCACTGAACTATGCTCTTCCACCTTAGGTCCACCTGAAACATTCCTGACTCTTCCAGTACGTTCAGAAAATTTGCTTAATGATTTTTTTTTGTTGTTTTTTGTTCGTTTGTTTGTTTTTTTTTCGAGACAGGGTTTCTCTGTGTAGCCCTGGCTGTCCTGGAACTCACTCTGTAGACCAGGCTGGCCTCGAACTCAGAAATCCACCTGCCTCTGCCTCCCAAGTGCTGGGATTAAAGGCGTGTGCCAACACCGCCCGGCAAGGGAGTCTGACTTTGATCCCTGGGACTCATGGTTGTACGGGAGAACTGACTCCCACCTGGTCACTGTGGCATGCACCCACACTTGCACACACACACAGAGAAAACTCTAACCACCAACAAATCACTTAGAAGAGTGTGGAAGTGTCCTGCCTCAAAGTAACTTTCCATTTGTAGTTCAAAACGTGGCTTCACTTGGGAGTGAGAGATTCAGATCATGACAAAGATGGGTCCTACACATCAAAACGGACTTTCCTTATTCTTTTTACATCCATCTATAATTCATCTGTCTGTCTATCATCATCTCTCCACCATCCATCATCCCTGTGTCTATCATCTATCCACCCATCTGTCCTCTACCCTTCTACCGATCATTCACCTACCCATCCCTCCCTTTCCATCAATGCTGAAGACTGGCACAGACTCAGGACATGTGTCCAGGACAGAGGATGGTTTGCAGGGTTCAGCTCTCTACTCCTGCCATGTGGGTTCCAAAAAGCAACATCAGGTTGCTGGGCTTGGTGACAGGCATCTCCATCTGTGGAGCCATCTACCTTTCACACTCCTTTTACTTTCCTTGGAGAGAAGCTGCATAGCCCAGGGTGGCCACGAAGATGCGTTTCCCTGCCTCGCTTTTAGAGTGCTGGTCTGGCAGGTGTGCATCACACACAAAGCCCAGATCATCATGTAAAAAAAAAAGATGGAGGAAATGGAAGGGCTGGAAGTTTCAATGGCTCCGAGTTCAGTGATTAAGACTGCTAGGTGCTCTTGCAGAGGATACAGGTTCAGTTCCCAGAACTCACGCAGTGGCTCATAGCTGTAATCTTTGCATTGCCTGGTCCTCTGTCATATGATCTCGAAGCCCCAAGGCATCTGGACTTGAGACTGTTGTGACACACAGACACAGTTCCCAGGCATGCTTCCTTGCTTGTCTCTAGACTGTGGCTGTATGTCTGACATGTGGGTTGAATCTGGACAAGTGTGAAATGTGCATACATATGGACACCACTGATTGGGGCAGCATGTGTGGAGGGCATGCCAGCTATGGGCCTCTCTGCCAGTCAGGTTGAGCATGTGTGGAGGGCATGCCAGCTATGGGCCTCTCTGCCAGTCAGGTTGAGCATGTGTGGAGGGCATGCCAGCTATGGGCCTCTCTGCCAGTCAGGTTGAGCTTGCATACAGCACAGCTGGAACCAAAGTTTGCAAATCTGACCTTGGGTGGACAAGGGTGTGTCCACAGAGCATGGGGTCTGCAGAGACTCCTATATTGGCTGTTTACAGAGCAATGGCTGGCGTCTGCTCATTTGTATAGTATCATCTCCTGGGTGTTTTATACAATGTCTGAGTACCTACGGTGTTTCATTTGGTTTGATCATACTTTGTTGTGTTAGTTTGAGCCACAGGTAGCCCAGGCTGGCCTTGAATTTGCTGTATGGGTAGGGATGACCTTGAACTTCTGCTCTTTCTGCCTCAGCCTGCGAGTGCTAGGGTTGCAGGCATTGGGGTGCCATGCTTGGTGGCTAGTCTTTGCTTTCACCTGAAGGAGTTGTACTTTATAGCTGACTAGTTGACCCTTACTGAACCATCTGAAAACGTAAGGCACTTCAACCTACTAGAAGTTGAGACTCTGGCATGGGAGGATGGGGGGGGCCCAGGCCCCTCAAGCATTGCCATCATTTATCCTGTGAGCCCTCAACAGGGAGGGATGATGAAACGGAGAGAGGAAGAAAGAATGGAAGACAGATACTAATAAAAATGGAGGCTGGGCGGTGGTGGCGCATGCCTTTAATCCCAGCACTTGGGAGGCAGAAGCAGGCGGATTTCTGAGTTCGAGGCCAGCCTGGTCTACAGAGTGAGTTCCAGGATAGCCAGGGCTACACAGAGAAACCCTGTCTCGAAAAACAAAACAAAACAAAACAAAACAAAACAAAAAAAGGAAAGACAGCCAGGCATGATGATATGTGCCTGTCAGTCCAGGATTCAGGAGGATGACACAGGAGGGTTCACAGATGCAGCCTAGCCTAGGAGACTAGGAGACTTAGCAGTCTTAGCAGAAGGACGACAGAAGGAAAGCCTCCCATGGACATGGGCCTTTGAGCCTTCGCTGAGCGTTGGAAGTCTATAAAGGGCTTGAGGCAGAGGGCGTGGAGACTGGCGCAGTTCTCTGTGGGCAGGGATTTGGAGACTGGGAGCTAGAGTACAAGAGTACGAGGGGCAGATACAGAAGGAATGGAGATTTGAGAGTGACGTTGGTCCTGAGGTAGGAGGTTCTGCACTTACCATATGCTGAAAGTGCTGGAGCAAAGGGTTGGAAGTCAGAGGGCTGGGTTCAGGCTGGGGAAGAGATATGGCAGGGTGCTGGTGAAGAGGGCCTGTGCACTCAGGGGCTTTGGTTCCCTCACTCATCAGAACAAACCATCTGAGCCATCACGCATCTGCTAATGATAAGCCCCGCCCACATCGTGTTTGTCCCGCCCTCCATGGGTGGACCTACATCTCTTAGGTTCCGCCTCTCACACCAAAGTTCCTCCCCAACCCTCCCCTTCTTGCAGTCCAGACTCGCCCCCTCATTACGATTAGCCTCGCCCCCGCGTCCTGATCCTTCTCCCAGCCCGGGCTCCGCCCAGACCCCCCCCCCCCCCCCCCGGCTGCACTTGGATCCGGCCCTTTTCCCATATCGGATACATGCTCTCAGGAGTCAGTTCTGCTCTTAATTAGAAGGTCCTCCCATCCTTCCCTTTGCCCCGTAAGGACTTACGCCTCACCCCTCCGCTGACCACGCCCCTCTCAGACCATACACTTACCTTCATCATCCTGGGCTCCTTCCCTCCTCCAGGGGCAGCTCCAGCCCTACTCCACTTTTCCTCTGTTTTTGTTTTTGTTTTGTTTTGTTTTTCGAGACAGGGTTTCTCTGTGTAGCCCTGGAACTCACTCTGTAGACCAGGCTGGCCTCGCACTCAGAAATCCGCCTGCCTCTGCCTCCCAAGTGCTGGGATTAAAGACGTGCGCCACACTGCCCGGCTTCCACTTTTCTTCTGGTCCAGCATATATCTACCCCCAAGGATGCCCCTCAGGCCGCCTTCCCCTTCCTTGTTATGTTGGGAAGTAACTTCGTTCCATTTCCCGTATAGGCCTTCCAGCCACTCTTTCCACAGCCAAGCCCCGCCCCACCCCAACTCAGGCCCTGCCACACCTGGGAGCCAACCTTTTCTCTCCCACAGAACTTTTTTCCACAGGCCTCTTCCATAGGCCTTCTTTGGGTCACGTCCTGCCTGAATCACCTTCCTCAGACCCCTCCCCTCAGAGATCCTCAGGCCATGACTTCTTCAATCCTCACTCCCACTTCAGGCACTATCTTCCTTAGGACCACTCTTAGGCCTTGCTTATAATTCTCATGGCACCCCTCCGGGTCTTAAGCAGCACCTCTCTTCACAGGCTCCGCCCCAATTCCACGCCTACCGCTTTTGGTCCCGCCCCTGATCCCTTCAGGCCCCGCCCTCCAGGCCTTTCCCCGCCCCCACACCTTTCTTCGGTCCTACTGGTTGCTCTCCTCCGACCCCAGGCCCCGCCCCGGCTCCCAAGCCCCGCCCACTCGAGTCCCTCCCTCGCTCGCAGCAGGCCCCGCCCGCTGCCCGGGCCTCGGTCTCCGGGTCCGTGCGCGGCCCCGTCGCTCGGGCGCCCGGCGGAAGATGGCGGAGTCCGGCGGCAGCAGTGGCTCTGGTCAGAGCCCTGAGCGCCCGAACAGGTGAGTCCCGCGCCTCTGTTGGCATGCACCTCTTGCCCGGGCGGGGCCGACCCGGGACCGCCGGGGGCGTGGACGTTCCGAGTCCCCGACTGCCAAGGTACTGAGCTATGGCGCAGGCCTGAGGGCAGCCTAAGGCCCGGCTTCCTGGGTGCTGCGAGCCCGGGACTGAAGGGGTTCTGGGAAGGTGACGTGGGAAGCTGCACAAGGACCCCGGGGCCCGGGAAGGAACCGAGGCGTTCCTGAAGGAGACACTGAGACCACCTGGGAACCTCCACAGGTCCTGCTGGACAGGGAGCTGTGCAGGGGCCTGGCAGGGAACAAGAGGCCTGGGCATGTCTGGGGAGACCCTGAGGACACTGTGAGACCTCAACAGGTTCTGATTGTCAGAAAATTGTCTAGGGGCCTGGTAGGTAGACAAGGGGCTTGGGCATGTCTAGAGGAAACACTGAGGCAACCCTGAGGCCCCAGCAGATCCATCATGATGGCCCGGGAATCCCAGGGGTTGTGAGAGGTCGGGATGGATTTGTGGAGCTTGAGCACCGTGAGAGAAGACACGAGGTCTCTAGAGTATAGGGTCTTTCTTTAAGACCCTCTTCCTTCCACCCTTCATAGGATTTAAATCCCCCTTCCCTCCGTCTAAACGATTGGGTTGGAGGTCTTGCCCTCAGATATTGGGGCCACACTCACCCCTTTGGTTAAATGAGGTCACCCTTTTTCCTGGTCAGTTCCTAAGGTGGGTTCTTTGAACTTGGGAATTTGCATAAAGATGGCAGGTATTTTTAAATATTTATTTTATTTTAGTTTTTCAAGACAAGGAATCATATAACCCAGGCTGGACTCCCAGTTGCTACGTAGCTGAGGATAACATCAAACTGCTGCTCATCTTTCCTCATCCCAAAGTATCAAGCTGACAGGCATGCATCACCCTTCCTGTGGTACATTCTAGCTGAGGACTCGACTACTGAGCCGTATGCCCCACCCCCTACCCATACCCACCCTATTTTTGAGACAGTGTCTGATTGTATAGCATAGGCCAACCTTGAACTCAAAAGCTTTCTGTTGCAATACACTTTTGTGAGTTGGTCTGGAGTCTCAGGGGAAGGGCACCTGTTGTAGGGAACTCTCTGAGGGAGCACTCACACTCTCTGTTCACACTGACCGGGAACCCCTGCCTTGAGACAGCTACCACTCTTGGGAGGCCAAGGGGGAAATTCAGGCTCTAGATGGTTTGGGAATAAACGGAAACCAAGGGCACTGGGCCATATGACAACAAATAAAGTTGATCCTCAGGCAGGGCCTCAGGGCAGGCAAAGATTTGGTAGCCTTGAGGACCTAAGTTGAACATTAGGACTGGAGGGACAATGCTGATTAGGGAACCCCTGTCACCACCTAGAGGAGGTGTTGACCCTGCCTGTTACCAGAGTTGTTGATGAAAGCTTCAGTGTGAAGTCAGAGCAAACCAGGGACTCCAGACAGGACATCAGCCATTGCAAAAACAGGGAGTTCTGGCCCCAGAAGAATGAGTGGCAGCCCTCTGGGACATGCCAGAGTAGTGGGTGAGAACTTAAGTCTGCAGTAGGCACGGGTCATGGAGTCACTGGGGAACAAGTGGGCAAGGCCTGGGGCCCAGATAAAAGGGGACAGCTGACCAGATCCCAGGGGTACAGTTTTTAAACATGTATTTTTTTGTTTGTTTATATGTCAAGACAGGGCTTCTCTGGATAGCCCTGGCTGTCCTAGAACTTACTTTGTAGCCATCATTGACTTTGAACTCACAGAGCTCGGCTTGCCTCTGCTTCCAGAGTGCTGGTGCTAAAGGTATATGGTGCAGACTTGGGTTAAACGTTTATTTAAAAAATGGATTCTTGAATATCTATGTGTGTCTGTGAGTATGTGCCATGTGTGTGTGGCTGCCCTTGGAGGCCAGAAGAATGAACCTGACCAGGAGCTGTTTTGTGGGCTGCCTGCATGGGTGCTGGAGACCAGACTTGGCCCTGGAAGAACAGTGCATGATCTTAACTGCTCATCTGGCTGCAGCCCAGGTTTTCGTTTTGTTGTTTTTTGACCACAGTTCGCAGTGGCTGACATTTGCTAGTTAGCCCAGGCTGGCTTCTGACTCCTGGTCCTCTTGCCAGTACTGCGATAACAGTGTGCATTATCCGTAGCACACCCAGCCCCCTTCAGTCTTTTCATCTTTTGGTCGTTACTTATTTTTTTGAGATTTATTTATTTTATGTTTGAGAGTATTTTGCCTGCATATATGTCTGTGTACCTTGTATGTGCCTGCTGCCCTTGGAGGCTTGAAGAAGGTGTTGGATTCCCTGGAAGTGGAGTTGTGAGCCACCATGTTGGAGCTGGGGATTGACTGTGAGTCCACTGTAAGAGCAGCCGGCACTTTGTTGAGCCATCTCTCCAGCTCCCCACCCCCTTTTAAAATTATTTTTAGGTGTTTTTTTGTTTGTTTGTGTTTCAAGACTGGTCTCTCTGTAGCTCTTGCTGTCCTGGAGCTCTCTTTGTAGCACAAGCTGGACTCAAATGCACAGAGCTCCACTTGCCTCTGCTTCCCCAGTGCTGGGATTAAAGGCATGCACCACCATGCCCTGAGCTTAGATTTTATTTTTATTTACTGTGTATAGGTGCTTTGCCTGCATGTATGTCTATTCTCCTCATGTGTAGAGTGCCCTTAGAGGTCAGAGCAGGATGGCAGGTCCTCTAGAATTAGAGTTATGAGCTGCCATTGTCGGTGCTGGGAACCCAACCAAGGTCCTCTGGAAAAACAGGGTTCTTAACCATTGAGCCACCTCTTGCATTCCGGCTCTTCATTCTTTACACTTGTCCGTGATGGCCCACAGCCTTGGCAGGATAGATTGATGTCCCACTTAGGGCTGAGCATTCAGAGTTCCCTGCCTCTTTGTGTCTTTGGGATGATAGGGGTGTGCCACCAACTCTGGCTGAGATTTTAATCTTTTGAAGTAAAACTTGTGTAAGATAAAATCTACCTTTGTCAGTGGATAATTCTGAGGCATTTAGCATATCCACAGAAACACATTCCAGTTTGTATACCCCATAGGGCCCTGTCCCCTGTCCACCTAGTAGTCCCTGTTTCCTGCCTGTGGAATCACCTGGTCTGGATACGTACGTATTGATGAGATTGTGTGAGAAAGCAGAATCCCTGCCGTCTCCTCTCCCCTCCCCTCCCCTCTCTTCCCCTCTCCTCCCCTCCCTTT